AAAATGCCTAAATTTTGGTACAGGTAAGTGTTTACAAATATATTTTTTTCTTTAAATTTGTCTCATTTTTTTTCCCAGTTCTGAATGAATTAAATAGCCTCGTATTTAACTTATGATCTTCTGTAAAATACACACTTTCTGAGAGAAGTACTCTCGATAGTAGTGGGTAATATAAATTTTTCCAACTATCGTATGAAAAGAAAAAATACATTTATCAGTTATATATGGTACGGCGAAGATCGTAAATTCGTTGGAGTGAAGAGTTATTATTATACCAGGTTTATAGTGTTGCCATCCTCTATGTGACTCTGTTTATGTAAATACAAATTTGAAAGCTTTGAATAGAGAAAAGATTCTACGAATACCTCAAGTAACTTATCACAAAGGCATTATATGTCTAATGTCAATCTATTTCTAAGTTATTGTTTTAAGGTTGTTAAAACATGTTTGAATCGTTAGTTGTACTTTTCCTCATCAGAAATTTGGATTGTGTAATGTAAAATGACAAGTTTTATCGGTGTGTTTTAATTTTCAGAACATCCCGCAGAAGGCACAAAAACGCGTGTTGGTAAGATTTTACTGCAACTTTACTTTATTGTAAGTGGTACTACTTTGAATAAAATGAATACTATAGAATTTGAAATAAAAAACTATTTGAAATGAACTATCATATCTACTTAACACAAAAAAAAAAGAGCATTTATTACTGAGATTAACTTTATCAAAGAAAATACTAACGCTAAGGTTTTTATTTTTTTAGATTTTGTTTGTGGAATACATATGTATGTTATTTTTAATCATGTTATTGAATATTTGTGATATCCTTTTTTACTGTGCCTATGTCAAACTCAGTTGTAAAGATTAAAAAAAGGTTTTGTTAAAATAAATTATCTTTTATGCTTACTTAAATGCTTACATTTCTTGATCATACTTTACAGTAATACGACAAAATATGACCTATCACATTACTGATTTATGCGTTTCCATATTTATGTGAAGTGAGTTTGTTTGATTATTTGTTACGCTTTCACGCCTAAACCACTGAACCGATTTAAAAAAATCTTTCACCAAGGGAAAGCTAAATTGTCAGCGAATAATATAGGCTTTTTACCGCGATATATATACGCGCGTAGCTGCGGTATTATAAATACGAAGCTAAAACTTGTATTACAGAACCAAGTTCACTCAGAAACTTACCAAAAATAATTATAAAAATAATGTAGAATCCTAATTAAGTAATTCGAGTTGATATTAGGATCTTAGTAATAAAAGTTAAACACACATATAAAACATGTTTCATATAGATTTCTGAAGCAAACGAACTACTTGACTTTCTCTACAATGTACATAGTTTTGCCCTAAAGTAGTCTACAAGGAAAACGATATGTGTTAGATATTAAAACAACTGGTCCTGAGATTGATGTCCACAGTCTTTAATGCTTACCTCTACGACTCGTTAACTGTCGAGGCGGAGTACACGCTTAATGGGAATTTAATGGGAACTGTACGCACTTAAACTAAAAGGGGTATTTGTGGGAGATTAGTCGGGAAATGTGTAAGTACTATCAGATCAACTGTGCAGTTCTTTGGGAATACTAACTCACATATGCTTTTGTATAGATAAATCATATTGTATTACTTAGAATAAGTACACTAAGGACACAAAGTTTTGGAGTTATTTGTTGTAGGCAGTCAAATTGCAGTTGAAACTTTTTCATGTATGTCAACAATTAAATTAAATTTAGGGCGACATATACAAGAGTCGCTCTTTTGCTAGTCTTACATTTTTATAATAGGATTTATTAAGCATGAAATTATTAACATGAAAAACATTTTGGCAAGAGGCAAATACAATTTGCTAGGTTTGTTAGAAATAGTTATTGAGTTAGAATTTAAAAGACCATCCCAAAATTGTTTAGAAGAAAATCTGCCAAAGTAGTTAATAATATCAAGCCTAGTCAAGATAATTTCTTTTAATGAAGTTTACTTTGAAACTGGAAACTTTGTCATCGGAGTTTGTCAAGAGTTGCCACTAAGACACGACGTGGCAACAATCGTGATGTATTAGTTTCAAGTGTATATGCACCAAATTTACTTTGATAAAGTATGATCGACTTCAAAGCCGAAGGGAAGTGATGATGAATTATTGAAAACTGACTGATTATTTCTACTTTTTAAAGTCAGTGCAACACATTTCTATCTTATGACACTGTTTTCTGTCGATTTCAATGTTACTCGTAGTTATAGCATACGAGGTTATGACCCAAGATTCAACCTTCTGATAATTACAAGAAAATCAATTATCACTGACATTGTAGTAGATAAACATATTTTTCCTATTCCGTCATTGGTAGCTAAATCTTTTGAGAACGTTATCATATTTTGTTCTTGATATGTGCTTATTACAGCGGTTTGGGGTAAGGTTGGATTTACAATATCAGGGTGCTTTCTTTTTGCTATTATAATACGAGTATGTATAGATTAGTTACGAGGGTACGTCCTTCACCTGCCATCAATACAAACACTAACAGCGTTCATGCTAAGATTATCAAGCAATGGAAGCTTTTAAAATGATTACAGTTTTAAATGTATCATCAAATTAGCAACCGAGTAAAACTAGATGAATTAGCGGTTATCGCAACTTTTGTAAGGATTTTTAGTTCTCATTTGTATTATATTTGTTAATATTTACATTTAAAAGCTTTTACATTTATTGAAAGTGAATTAACTCATGGCTTAGGTATATCTACCGTAAACCTAGTCTTAATATAATTTTATTATTTACATATTGCTTATTTTTTCGTATTACACATGTAGTTTCGTAGTATACATGATATTAAATGTAAATCAAAAATATATTTTGTTGTACATAGATCACATAAAATACTGACAACGTAACATTGGTACAAACATTTCTAAATGTAGACCAAATCGTTTCAAGTAATTTTGCCACTTGTACTAATACTGGTACTAATACGGCTAAAATATTTCTTGTTACATTAAAAATTTTATACCTACTTCAAAAACTTTTTAAAAGAAACTGATTAAATCTGGAGCAGTAAAATATGAGGGTAATGAAATTATTTTCAACAAAGTTTTAGCAAATTAGGCCATTTTACCATAAAAATGTGAATGTAATTTTTGTCCAACGGGCTACGCAAAAACTGTTCTTTACAAAATGTACCTACTACTTTTTTGCTTTGGTAAAACCATTCATTTTTATCTTCTTTAAATGGTTAAGTTCGGGCAACCCAAAATATAAAGACATATTTTTATAATACACAGAAAGAAAGATGCGATGAAAGTAATACCACTAACGAAAGCAATTTCTGGTGAAACCTAGTGCCTCATACTTGACCTTCCATAAAAAATATCCACACCAATTTCACTTGTTTTTATTCTACGTTAAAAAAGGTGATGTATATTGTCAGCATGTATATATAAATTGGTGATGTAGGTATATTTTAAATCGATGTCCGGCCTAGTAATATTCAAGCATATAAATAAAATGCTGTTTAGGAATAGTTTGAAATAAACATTATTATAAGTAAATTCAATAAATAAATTCTTAAGTTATGTTTTACTGCTTAAATGTTATTTTATATGCACTGAATATATTTCAGTCAAAATAATCTATAAAACAAATAGTATTGGGAATGATTAAATATCCAATTTTGGTGTGCCATTAAACAAACGATTACGCTCCGTTACAAAAAAAAACCTTTTGAATGACGAAATGTCGATGATTTTAAAGAATATCTTTAAAAATATTTGATACGATTCATTTTGATTGAACTGATTTAGTAAGTTCAATGACGTAATGATTAAGTTAAAAATTCTTACAGCTAAAAGTGAAAAGAATAAAACAGTGGTCTACCTAAGATGAAGTACTTATAATGATGGATCTAAATAAATGGTATTAACATTAATAAACATCATATTAAAAACAATATGGAAATGTTTTCACACGTTAAAAACAATATTTATACCATAATATACCCTTGTCATAACGAAAACGGACATAAAAAGACAAAACAAATATCAGAATCTAGTCTTATTTAGCTGTATATGGTACAACTCAGTAAGGATAAATGGTACTCATTAATTTAGTGACTAGAGGAATAAAGAGGTTTGTTGATTTAGGTAGTCGTAACTTTCTGTGTAAGGGTCATGCATAAGTATAGGACAAATAAAATGTACCTTTTATAAAATACATAGGAAGTGTTCCCTTTGTAACTTACAAAGCATACTATAGGTTGGTGTAGTTTTTCTACTTAAATACATTTACTGAATCTTTCTTCACAATAACTTAGTTAAGTTTCACGTGTACATGTTTAGTCCTGCAAAATCGACATACCTACTTTAACTTTTCCGTTACAAGTAACAATATAATAAGATTTTGGTAAATTTTTAATTTAAATGTATTTTTTTAAATTTTCCAATTTATTTTATTTTGTAGTAAAAAAAGAATTACTTACCAATACAATGTTGGTAGAACGCTAAAAACCATTTTGTGTGCGTGTCTTTAGACCAACTTTACTTCCATAACATTTTTAAAGCGATTTTGTTTACAAGAGTGTTTCTGTTCCTGTTAGATTAATCAATATCAAGCTCTGAACAGTAAACACTTTGGAATACTTTCAAAGTCGTTTTTATACTACGCACATTTAGAAAAGTTACATGGTTATGTAACTTTTCTAAATATTACTTTTTTATAATGAAAATAGTACTTTTTTTACAAATAAATTTTTATATTTACTGTATTTTTGTTGCCGACCATAGTGACTTTAGTTAAAGAAAATAGGTAAATACTAACCAAAATTTCTCAATGAACATAAGCGTAGTTTTTTTTTATAACATAACAAAAGTATTCGGAATTTAGTCATATGTAATGAAACATGACAAATGAACAGTGCCCTCAAGTACATGATTGTATTAATCCGTTTTCTTTATGACATAATAATTCAAGTATGCCGTAAGCGCAAATCTGCGGCCCTCACCTTACTGCAAGCCTTGCACTTGCCCTTCTCCGATCGCCGGTGTACCCAATGGTGGTGCGTGACAGTCTGTTCGCGGTATTGCCTCACGCCCACGTCTCGGAATGTTGGCTTGCATAAGAACTGCACGCGATCCATTAATATGTCGATACACGCTGCATGCGCGACGATTTTGCACGCCGAGCATTTCATACGGGATCCGTGCTTCTGTTAAACAAAATTCATTTTGTAAATATTTAGTTATAAGCAAGGGGTGTAGAATTAATCACCGTTAACACTTGAAATTTAATTATTAAGTGCAACTAAGAGAATAACAAATATATTCCACTATTTAAGTGGTGTGTTGCAAAATAATTGTATAGTGTGTTTTATGTGTAAAACTTACAACTATTGCGTTCTGTGATGGATAGTCATTTACTTGCGAATTAATTGTTAAAGTAAATGAAGTGTGCAGAAAAGTAAGTGAGAACGTTGGAAGAAGATGTAAAGTTGAATGTTGCCCACCGCCTCTGGTGACCTACTTAGCAGATAGAACAGTACTATCATAGTAGGTAGTATACACGGTCTAAAGTAAACCGCTACACTAGGTAGTCGGATCTTATTCTAGGTAAAATTTTCTCATCCGTATCTTTTAAAAAACCTCTGATCGAATTCTGAAATAATAATAAAGTGATTTGATTATCGAACTCAATACAGTACGGTAAAAAAAGTTGCCTGTCGTGACACATTTGCCCCAATTGGCTCTAATAAAATGAGACGTGTTTTTATTTTATTTTGGCCGGCATGTACATTTGCATATATTTCCATCATAATGTTATTCCTGTAAAAAGCAATTGAGTAGAGGTTAAAATGCCTCTGTATATTTTTGCGATAGCACGAATCGAATTTTATAGTATATTCATAATATAAAGTACGACTCTTTGTTGTTAATATTGACAATAACAGAACAGTAGAAGTCTACTTTTACCTCTATTTAAAACAGCCTATCACTGAAAGCTAGACCACTGGGTTGAACTATGTATGTGTATGTGATAGTTCATTACACTGTAGGTCACTGAGGTCATAGATAAAAACTTGCTATTTTCTCCTGGTTATTTTACGTTCATAACAAAATGATTATTTCAAAATGTAGTTTTAAAACAAGATTACTTCATTTCAGTTTATTAAAGTTCTTTCAAAAAAAAAATCCGGACAAGTGCGAGTCGCACTCGGCCACCGAGGGTTCCGTTCAAATTTGTAGGTACATATTATAAATACATAGTTCAGGCATCGAATCTCGTAGTTTTTGTCGAGCTTTGCCAGAAATTCAGTTTCCAAAACATATAATTACTTATATTCTGGTGCTTTATGAGAGAAATGGTATCTCGATGATTGGTTTAGTAATATGATGGGTAATGAATAATAATGATGGGTACTTTAAATAAAGACTTTATTTTTTATGATTTATTTCCAAATGCATAATTTTTAAGAATTTTGATTCTCTTGATTGTCGAAATATGCATTTTTTTGCGACATAAACGGCCGTATATTTTTGTACGTTAACTTCTTTTTTTTATGTTAGAGGGGGCAGACGAGCAGACGGGTCACCTGATGGAAAGTGACTATCGCCGCCCATGAACGTCTGCAACTCAGGAGACAAGACAAACGCGTTACCGGCCAACTCAGGAGTACGCTCTTTTCTTGAAGGTTTGAAGGTCGTATCGGTCCGGAAATACCGCAGACGAAAACCCATTCCACAGATTGGTTGTGCGGGGCAAAAAAAACTTCGGAATTTGATTACTTTACGGCTTTAAAACGCTATAGACTTGTATATGGTTTTAATTTCAACTCGATACCTCAACGCGTTCCTTAGATAATGAGTCTTGACAGACAGACAGAAGGACAACAAAGTGACCCTATAAGGGTTCCGTTCTTTCCTTTTGAGGTACGGAACCGTGAAAAGTAGAAAAACTCTGAAAAGAACCTCCACCATTAAGAAATTAGCTATGACACTACTACATATACACCACTGGAATTTAAAGCAACTAAATAATATTACAATTTTCGTATTCATTGCATAAAGAAATAAGTAAACTTAAAATGTCCAGTAGCAGGTTGAATAATTACTGAATCTCTGAATAATTCAACTTCAATTTTCGCCTTGTCTATTTGCCATTAGGCTCAAGATTTCAGCTGACGTCAAAGCAGTTACAAATCTGTTAATAATGAAGATGACCAAACCAAAACTGTTCTCGAATATTCTATTATTGAATGTCCCGTGATAATACTGGTGCACATAATCAACAAACTAACTTTTTTTTTGCCAGTATTTAGTGACAAGAAGATGAGAGAAGAGAGAAAAGGAGATTTATTTTTAAACAAACATTTAATTAATTTGTGATATTTGTAATTAAACAGAAAGCTGCATTTTCTTTTTACAAAGTAATGTGTTTTGTCATCTTAAATTTGCAGTGGAGTCACTCATTATAGAAATTTGTCAAACTTTTAAACAAGAATTGAACAAAAATGACCTGCTGAACAAAATTTACTTAAGAATTGCTAAACACTAAATACAAAAAAGGTGTCTTTAATCGACATAATGACATTTTCCGTCCCTAACAGAGCACTTTAATTCGAATAAAAATGTTCTCATTTTCCTACTAAATACAAATTCGCTTCTCTTTTAGTATGCCGATTGTGTTCACAGAGTATATACTTCGGCAACCATAGGTCCCAGTGGCGTCTGAATATTTAAAATCTTCCAAAACATACTCTCATCAGGAATGTCTAGGGAGTTGTATCCTTAAAATTATTTAGATTATTCTTGAAAATTAGATGAAGTTGGGTATACGAAGGAGGTTATTTTGTTAAGTTTGAATAAAATGTTCCAAAACTTATTCAAAGTTATGAATAGAATTTTCAGACTAATCCAAGTTCTAAGCCGCATCGGTGAGATCCCTAGCTACCCGGCAATTAGTTCTGGCAACATACCTATATTCTATTGTACAGAAAATTTACAAGACAAATCCTATGTCGTTTTTTTTTGGTAGCTGATAAGATGGCCAACATTCTTTACCAGTCACTGCTGAACGAATGCTTCCCCCAGGGAATGCCAACCAACCAACTGCTAACACACTGGGATTAGCAGTCCGCATCCATACATAACTCCATCCGCTGCCAGTCATTTTTGCTCAAATCGTCCATCGTGCCGCAGGGCACCCTACACTATGTTTGCCTAATCGCGGAAATACATTTAGTGGACGTAAATAAATATCGTAGTAATGAGATACGCGGGTAGCAGAGTAACAACATTATAAATACCTTGATATGAATTGTTACATGCTTTAGAGACAATACTTATATAATTTTTAATTTAATATAATACCGGGAGCCCTGCTGTACATATGTAAACTTACTTGATGGAAATACAATCCATGGCCCTTTGCATATGGTCAGTAAAAAAAATTGCTACCGTCCGACGAGTTTGCCGAGTGGAACAGAGCTGATAGTTGTCACCGACCGCAACGCACTCTGAGGCTTAATATAAATCTTGCATTATAAACGTAAGGCTGTAATCTAGCTTTATCATTGGGCTAAGTATAAGTATTATCGACATTACCTTTTTTAGTTTCTCTGTTAAGAACCTAGGTCTATTTATCGTTTCCAAGCTCAACTGGCAATCCTAGGTCACCAGCGTCAGCCAGAGAGTCACAGGTACGCTACGGGCCTTCTATCGGCTTAAAAACTTCCTTTCTTCCGTGGCAAAAGTGCTATATGGTATACGATGCTAGTAGGGTCTGTACTAGCCCTATCTTGGATTATAGTGATGTATGCTATTATGACCTGAATGCAGATCTCCTCAATAAATATGACCGCCTTCTGAATAACTGCATTCGATTCGTCTTTAAACTTCGCAAATACGACCATGTTTCCTCCTCTCGTCGCGAATTGAGTTGGCTCACGATTCGTCAGCGCCGTCAGCTGCACGCTCTCACCACCCTCTTTTCCATACTCAACTCACCTATTTGCGCTTCCTACCTGACTTCCTCATTTTAATTGCTATAATCCAATCACAACAGAACCCTCCGTTCCTCAAACAATCCACTTCTGTTATGCTCCACTCATATTTCCGCATGTGTCCACTCTTCATTCCTAATCCAATCTGTCCTCCTCTGGAACGCTCTGCCTCTGGAAATCAGGATAGCATTCAGCCGCTACTCATTTAAGACGATAGTCCAAGCTCGAATTCTCGACACTAGTAGAATCATCATATCTCTAAAGTTATTTTTTTTTAGTATAATACACTAAAATAAATTTTAGTGCATTATATGTATATAAATGTATGTAACTCAGCAAGTATATATGTATGTGTATCTCAGTATGTATGTATATCTGTCACACTGTTTCTGTCCATATCCTGAATTATTATTATCTCGTTACATTTAAAACTTAATTTCTAGTGCACCTACTCAGACGTTTCGACACCATCCAAAGGTAGACTGGGAGAAAATGCCTGTGGCATTAAGGCCGCCATTGTACAGTGAATTGTTTGTGCAAAAAAAAAAAACAAATAAAATACTCCGCTAAAAAAAGCTTTTCGCACCCTTATATTAAACTGGGGTGTTTCAAAAGTAGTATTCTCTTCGGATCACAGATGTATGTTTCTTGGCATCATATTGAGCGTCGTGTAAACAGCATTTTCAGCAAGGTAATTTAAGGGTCATAGTCGAATACCTTCTATCTTTTCCGTAGGATCTCTTTGAAAATGATTTGAAATGATAGATTACCGCTTCAGTACGAGTTCTAAAGTATTTACGCTCTGAGCAAGCGGGATTCAGTGTAGAAATTAACTATTGATTGCGGGCATCAGGTTTGAAAGGCAGTCATTTGTAGCACCCTATGTGACAGTTCATCGCCACGGTAAAATAGTAGCATGTCATCAATCTTATATACGAACAGGGTCGACCAGCGTCACAATAGACAGTAAACTTGCTAATGGTTGTTGGGAAATTACATTTCTTCCACAGTTGTTTAACCAAGACGAACAAGTTGTACGTAAAGGTATTGTTGCCTCGGATACTTTAACGATTAATCAATATCAATGTTCTATTTTTATAAATATTTTTGTATTGTATATATCGTTCTTTATTCAATCTTTCTTTCTTTATACACGGTGTTATGGTTAAGTCGACCTAGGTTTCTTTATGAAATACCATATTCCAAACCTA